GGACCGGAGTCCACCTGGACCCAGCACGGACCGGAGTCCACCTGGACCCAGCACGGACCGGAGTCCACCTGGACCCAGCACGGACCAGAGTCCACCTGGACCCAGCAGACCATCAGAGTCCAGCTGTGTGTCTCAGCAGGTCAGTAGGTTGATGCCAAATAAATCCGTCTCAATGTGAGAAGAAGCGTCTGATGTGATGAGAAGTAAAACGTCCTGATTGATCAAAGTCGTTTCACATATAGAGTCTGTGACAGAGTCCCAATCTGAGCCCGTTTTCATAAATAATACACACTTTACAATAAATCCAGTGTATCTGGTTGACAGCTGAACATCTCTGCAAGGCTTCAACAAACACCTGCGTTTCTCCCTCCAGTCTGTAGGTGGAACCTTGTAGAGCACCGGTAGAACCCTGTCTAGATGTAGAGTCAGAGGGTACAATGGTACCAGGTCAGAGACTCTGAGGAGGCTCATGACCTCCAACCAGAGTTCATGTCTTTAAGACAAACTGGGATCAACAGAGTTTCTATATCACTGTCAGGACCATGCATCCACTGTGGTGGTCCTGGTCAGGTTCACACCAAACATCTGGACTCCATGTGAGCCCAACACATTGATCTCCATCTGACCAGAGGATGTTCTCCAGCATCCATCAGGCTTCTGTTCATGTTCTCTGGTGACCTTTGATGTGGAAGTTTAGCTGTGAGCAGCAGCCAGGTTTAGTTCTGGTGCTCCGTCCGTAGAGGCTGATGTTCTGAAGTGTCCTTCACACTGTGTGAGCTTCACGCTAACTCCATTTCCTCTGTGTTGTTCAGCTGGATCTATCCTCGGTGTCGTCCGTCCAGCAGCTGGAGTCTCTGGGTCTGGACGTCCTGAAGGAGGAACTGATGTCTCGGGGGTTAAAGTGTGGGGGAACGTTGTCGGAGCGCGCCTCCCGGCTGTTCTCTGTCAGAGGACTGAGTCCAGATCAGATTGACCCGGCGCTGCTCGCCAAACCCTCCAAGAGCAGGAGGAAGTGAAGCGGGTCAGAGGCTTAAAGGAGCAGTGCAGCTTTTCTCTTCGCTAATCTCAACATCCACTTACTGCCTTTTCCCACCGAGGAGGACAGAGCGCTCTGGAACAGTCCGAGGAGACGCGTTCTCCTTCAGGTCCGACAGGAAGCCTCCTGGTGCTGTCCTGCTCAGAGCTTTCTGTCGTCCTCGGTGGACTTCGCTGAGTTCAGGGAGTTGATCTGGAGTTTAAAACTGCAGCGACTGAATGATCGTCGTTTTTTAAGGAACAATATTTGCTGGACTTTAGTTTGTTTTCCATGATGTGAGATCTTCAGTGTATGTTTTACAGACGAATGGATGGTTGCAGGAGTTCATTCTAACAGACGTCAACATCTTTTCAAACTGTTTATTGGTAGATTTGTCCAGTCAGAGAGCAGGATGTTCAGAACATTCACTTTATTACATTTAGCCATGTTAACGTGTGTCCTGTTGGCAAAGTTGAATTCTTCTATTAAAACCTCTGAAACAAAACAACTGTGGCTCATTTCCCACAACGTTGAAGGAACATTTGACTCAAGCCTTGAGCTGGCAGTTTGTTCCCAGCACAAATAAAACTTCATTAAAGTTCAATCATTAAATCTACATTCAGTTCAGCCGCTGCAGGTCCTCGTTAGAACCCGGGATTCCAGGAAGTGACCTGCGGTGTGTCCTGCTCCTCGAAACACTCGATGATGTCACCGGCTCTGAAGTCAACGCCGCCGTCCACCGACAAGCCGCACTCCATCCCCAGCTTCACCGCCTGGACGTCGTCTTTGTGGTGCTTTAAGGCTGCCAGAGAACCTGCAGGAACATCAGGAGAACGTTCAGTCCAGTCTCGTTACTGATGGGGTTTGGTCCGGTCCAGTACGGTCCCACTCACCTTCCCAGACGGTGTCTCGTCCTCGAATCAGTCTGAACTTGAGTCGTCGGTCCAGTTGGCCTTTCTGGACCCGGCAGCCGGCCACCTGGACCTTCGTCTTCCCCACAGAGACGTCGAACATGGCGAGAACCGTGGCCTCACCTGGACCAGAGGGGGAGGGGTGCGTAGGTGAGACAGGTGGAGGTTTGGGCAGTGGCGGCTGGTCCATGTGGAGGCGCTGCCGCCCCACTACTACTGACCAGATAAAAAGTTCTCAAACGTAAAATTAAATGTGAATTAATGATAAAATAATAAAATTACTGATAACCTTCACATTCTTTTGCCATATTAACGATATTTGTATTAATAACAGATTTAATATAATTCTACACTTCCTGGATGCGGCGCGGCCGCTTCAGTGTGTATGGAGCTGGAAAAACTTTGTGATCATGTGACCTCGGCCCGGGCTCTGATTGGCAGCTGCAGACTTTCTCACTGGGCGCAGCTTGGACCCGCCCACTTCTGCTGTAAGTCAGTTAATTTAGTCTTTATGTGCTTTTGTCGTCTGTGGTTGGATATAAAACTGTCCTCTGACGTTCTTACGACTGAGCTTTAAACACATATCTGACCCGTCACATGACCTTCCTCCTCCTCTGCTGCTGGATCACAGCTACTGACTGACGGCTTCATGCATCGGCCTGCTGTCAGTGGAGAAAAGCCGGCGAGTAGAATTCATGTAAGTGGGTTTAAGCTCGGACAGAGCCGACACCAGAACGCCCAGTTTGTTATGTTAAAGTCATTCCTGGCCACACCCCTGTCAGAGCAGCACGGCCTCCAGCAGCAGCTCCCAGCGTGGGGCGTTCAGGGAGCGTCAGGAAATCCTCTATCGACAAGAACACGTTCAGCAGGTCATACGTTCTGCCTGTGACCAGGTGGGAGGTGGGACACAACGAGAAAGTGGGTGGTACCGGTGCTGCCAGTGAAAGCGTTGGTCTGGAGCCCTGAACAGTGTTTTATTCATTATTTCTGCTGTGAGTTTGTTCAGATCCTGTAAATACTGATGAAAGGTTCTGAAGGTTGGTTCTGGTCAGACTGAATGATGTTCAGTCAGATGATGATCAGAACCTCCTCCAGAGGTAGAACACTCCCCCCCGTTCGTACCGAACGCGACAGCAGGATGTTCTACTCTGGTTCTACTCGGGCTTGCAGCCAGCTTGCTTTTCTAAACATTCTGACCCACAATCCTTTGCAGCTACATCCAGCTCTCTGCTCTTACATGGGGTTGAAGCCCCGCCTCCTGCCCCACCCACCACGCTGAACAGCGCCACCTGTCTGTGGGGAAAGCTGGTGATTCCATCGCAGTGTCTCCTGAGCGACTCACCGACCACGTTCTCGGAGACGAGCGGCGGCAGTTTGCTGCTCAGCTCGTCCTTCAGCTCGTCGATCAGCTGGTAGATGACGGTGTGCAGCCGCAGCCGGACGCCTCTCTTCGCCGCCAGCTGCTGCATCGCCCGGCTGGCCGCCACGTTGAAGCCGTAAATGGAGCCTGAAGGTGCGGAAGAGTTTTACTGGAGGTCAGTGGACACGTTATGATGGAAGGAACTGCAATGATCTAAACGTCTCTTCACGTATCTGGGTGGTGGCCTGAAGCCGATACGTCGCAGCAGGAATAAAACGGTTCAAGAACATGTCTGAGAGTTAAACGCAGCAGACGCCATCCAGCATGAAGGCACACCATGACACCCGCTAGCTGAACAAACTCCCTGACGGTTGAGCTCCTTCACCCTCCGTCGCTCTGATCACCGACTCCTGAACCTCCTCAGCTCTCCTCCTGCTGCTCTGAGCGCTGATGGACTCGTCCGCAGGTTCTGTGGAGGTTGCTGCTGGTTCTCCACATCGACTGAGTCCATCAGGGCCTCAGGAGCGACTGCCAGGGGCGGAGCGGTGTTTTGGCTGGAGCCTCAAGGACGACCACCACCTGTCCTGGCTGACCACAGCCTCCACCAGGTGTCAGCAGGTGTAGCCGGAGGTGACCAGAGGAGCAGCCACAGGTCTGAGGGACGGCGGTGAAGGAGCTCCACTGCCTGGGACTCGACTCTGAAGTTAAAGGCATCAGATGCAAACGTTCTGTGAACCGTTTTCTTATTGCTGCTGATGAAGAACGGTTCCGTCGCTCGGATCGACCCGGACCAGCTGCTGTTACCTCCAAACGTGTCGGCCATGTTGATGTCGTTCTCGGAGACGTCTCCGAGGCCGAAGTGGACGACCTCCAGCTGACACTGCTGCTGGGCGTCGTAGCTGTCCAGGATGTTCAGGAGCGTCTCCACCGAGCCGTCCACGTCACCTGGAGGTCAAAGGTCAGGCGGTGAAGACCGTGTGACAGCGAGCAGAGCCAATCAGAGGCGGGCCACGTGCGTACCTTTGACGATGAGCGACAGGCTCAGCGGGTCGCTCTGCTTCTTCTCGCTCAGCCTCATGGTGAAGCGGTTCTTGTTGGCCCGGTACAGCGCCCGCTTCCTTTGCCTCCAGTTTAGGTGAGTAAGCCCCTCCCTCTCGCGGTGGTACTCCTCCTGGTGCAGTTTCTGCTTGTGCTCGATGGCGTTCTGCTCCTCCTGCAGGTTCGCCTGCTCCTCCTGGTGACTCCGCCACTCCACCACCTCCCTCGCTCGCTGCTGCAGGGGCACAGATCAGCAGGTTCTGTTTGAGTGGTTCAGACCAGGGTGTGGTCTGGTCCCATACATGGGGTTTAGTCCAGTTCTGGACTGGTTTATTTCAGAGTGTTTATAAAAGAACACAAACTGAAGTCAGAAACACACACAAAAGGACCGCCTTGACTCTGAACGCAACACATTCTGAACACCATTCTGGACTCAGTCACGGGTCGTGCTTTGGTCTCACCTCCGACTCCACCTCCAGGATGGTTTCTCCGGCAGACGGCAGGTCCTTCCAGCCGACCACCTCCACGGCGGCGCTCGGCCCAGCCTCCGGTACCGCCCGCCCGTTCTCATCGAACAGAAAGCGGACTTTAGCCCAGCATTTCCCTGCAACCAGAACACAACCACGCTTCAGCGAGCCCCGCTGGATGATGGCGGTGGTGACCAGCCTGGGGAGACGCAGCAGAACAGGAGAAGTCAACGTTTTCGTAGAACCACAGTCGGGTTCTTGACAACTAACAGAATCACAGTTAGGTTCCGTCTCACCCTTTGCCTTTGTCCGTCCGGCTCTCAAGGATGAGGCCCTCCACTGGACCGCTGGGTTCTGCCTTCAGCTCCAGAACCTCAGACAGCGCCACCGTGGCCTCGGCGAGAGCCAGCAGATTGTCACCCTGGAAACAGCCGCAGTGACATCATCAGTTTACAGTGACATCACAGTGACGCCTGCTCAGAGGGAGTCCAAAGACAGCTCTGGGTTGTTGGGTTCTGTTTAAATTCTAAGGTCTGTACCACGCTGAGCGCTGTTAGACGATGTCTGTTCTGTACAAATAAAACGGACTGTCAGAATGTTCTCAGAACGTTAGTTCAACGTTCAGCTATTCGCTCAGCTCGGAGCCCCGCCCCCGCTTCTCAGCAGCCAATCCTGAGAGTGCTGTGGACAGAAGCAGCTGATTGGTCAGGTCACCTTCAGAGCAGAGATGTGGATCGCCTGAACGTCTCCTCCGAACTCCTCGCAGACGACGTCGTAAGCGAGCAGCTCCTGTTTGACTCTCTGAGGGTCGGCCTGAGGCTTATCGCATTTATTCACCGCCACGATCATCGGAACTGGAGCAGACGGAACACAGAATCAGAACAGAACACAGCAGAGGCAGTAGAGAAAGCGTGGAATTGAAGGTTTTCAGCCCTGTGCGCTGCCTGTCAGGCTCGGCGAACCTCTGGCTCTCTTGGCGTGTTGGATGGACTCGACCGTCTGGTTCATGACGCCGTCGTCGGCCGCCACCACCAGAACCACGATGTCGGTGGCGTTGGCTCCGCGGGCTCTCATGGAGGAGAAGGCAGCGTGACCCGGCGTGTCCAGGAAGGTGATCTTCTCACCCGTCGGCAGCTGGACTGGAACAGAAGAACCAACAACGCTACAAGATCAGCAGGTAGTCAGGTAATCAATCAGCCGATAGAAAATCAATGAGCCTGGCCGCCTGGATAGCTCAGCGGGTAGGGCAGGCGACCCACGTACAGGGGCTTCAGTCCCCGACGCAGCGGCCCGGCTTCAATTCCAGCCAGCGGCTCATTTGCTGCATGTCACTCCCCCACGTTTCTCTGTCTGTCTTTCACTGTCGCTGTCAATAAAGCTGGAAAAGGCCAAAAATAAATCTTAAAAAAAAAAAGAAAATCAATGAGCCGATCGGGTTTGAAACCTGCTGGACCGTTTCTAAATTCCACATGCAGGTCTCCATGGTAGCAGTGGTGCTACCGGCTTTATGGCTGGTCGCCCCGCCCCCTTACTGTGGGTCAGCTATGAATGCACCGTGCAGCTGATGACCAGCTGTTTCTGCATAACTCACTTATGATGCCGTGATACGAGACATCTGTAAAATGTTTTAACCTGGAAATGTATTTATTTTGTCACCAGTCCTCTTCTGATGTCACTCATTAACTGGACACAGGCGAAACAGCTGCTGAACATGTGTATGAGTTGATGCCTCATTTTACAGATGTTCCCTGAACGCCTCACACGCTGCTCCTGTAGATGGTACGTGGTACTGACGGTCCCTGAACGCCTCACACGCTGCTCCGGTAGATGTTACGTGGTACCGATGGTCCCTGAACGCCTCACACGCTGCTCCGGTAGATGTTACGTGGTACCGATGGTCCCTGAACGCCTCACACGCTGCTCCAGTAGATGTTATGTGGTACCGATGGTCCCTGAACGCCTCACACGCTGCTCCGGCAGATGATACATGGTACCGATGGTCCCTGAACGCCTCAGTAGATGGTACCAGGTGTTCAGCTCCTCTGACAGGTGAGCGACCAGACCTTAGATGAAAACAGTGGAAAGCGCGTTCTGCACTAATGTGGCCACGATGACAGGTTTTCTCTGAGCAGCGTTTCTATGCAGATACGTTTCTACGAGCTGAGCTCATGCTGAGCGTCCAGCCCACTGGTCCTCATGTTCACTGAGTCAGAACCGTGATGCTGTGAACATGTGGACCTTCAGGCTGAATGTGGGGCGACTGGTTGTTCCTGCCTGACTCAGTCCAGACCTGTGTGCCTGCACCTGAACACTTCTATCATCAGGTGTGACCTCTCCCACCTGGCTGTGTGTGTGTGTGTGTGTGTGTGTGTGTGTGTGTGTGTGTGTAACATGATCGGCTACTCATCCTTTTATCATCAGAACACGGTAACAGCGACACTGTTTAACCATCAGGCAGAGAGAGACCGAATCAATGTGGAAGAAATACGACGACTTCCAACCACACTACCTGGAGCAGCAGCTACCTGTGCTGACCAGGTTTAGGTTAACCCAGTCTAACCAGGTTTAGGTTAACCCAGTCTAACCAGGTTTAGGATAACCAGGTGTAGTTTACCCAGAAAGGCCCCGATGTGCTGCGTGATGCCGCCGGACTCCGTGGCGACGATCTGACTCTTCCTCAGGCTGTCCAGCAGCGTCGTCTTGCCGTGGTCCACGTGGCCCATGATGGTGACCACCGGGGGGCGACTCACCAGGCGGGACGGGTCCGCCGGAGGCCTGCCGGGTCACAGAGGTCAGAGGTCAGCTGTGTCCTGTGCCCTGATTGGTCGGTGTGTGTGCAGGTCGGTACCTCCTGTAGGCGTCTCTGTTGGGTCGTTCTCTGCTCACGCTCAGTGTGGCCCATCTGAACTTCATCCCTGACCGAGTCACCGCCTCCTTGATCCACCTGTCCTCCAGAACAGAGTCTGGTTCCAGAGAGTCCAGGTCCACCGAGGTGTTCAGCAGAGTCTCCAACACGTGGTCTGAAACACAGCAAACTTCATCAAACAGCAGAACGTCTAAAGGAAGACAGAGGGAGAACGTGTAGAAGCTCAAAGTTCTGCTGGAACATGCCGAATAAACGGACTTTGGACTCAGCAGAACCCACAAACCAGCACAGAACCGCACAGCTTTTAGCTCCGCTGTGTCCTGAGCTGATCACGTGTCCTACCAAAGTCCTTGTTCATGGCCTCAGCGAGCGCCGCCGCCGTCATCCCCTGTCGGATCTCCACTTCCTGTTTGTCCACTTTGAGCTTCCCCTTCGGGTTGCTGTGTTCCTGCTTCTGACCTCTGACCTGCACAAACGTTATTTCTGTTATTTCGCACAGACAGATGAATCCGGATTTAAACGATCGTTACAGACGTCCTGAGGAGCAGGAGCAGGACTCGAGCTGCGCCTCAGACTCACCTGTTTGGAGGCCGACCTCCTGTTCTGACAGGTGAGCAGGGGGGCGGAGCTCCGGGCGGGACAGAGGAGGGGCAGAGGCAGGTCGGCGTGGAGGAGCCGCCGGGCGCCGCGCATCACTGATGACATCACATTCATACCTGCAGAGGGACAGGTGCACAGAAGTGACTCGTGGTGCGTTCACAGACATCAGGGTGGGGGGGGCCCCCACAGCTCACCTGGCCGAGCAGCGACCCGTGAACAGGCCGTGGGTTCGACCCGTTGCTGCCTGTCTGTACTGCTCTGAATGAAGACACAAAGGCCCAGAAACACATGAACATGAAGACAAACGGGGCTTCTGAACGCCGTGGTCGACATCTAACTGGTTGCTGAGGATGATCTCTGACACTCAGACGGTAAATAAAGGCCAGCAGCACAACAGCCGGGTTTCATTATCGTCCTCCGAGCGTCCTTCGAGGCACCAGTGGAGACAGTTTCTGAGCTGAAGCAGAAGACACCGTCACGTCGGCCTTCATGGGGAATGAATCAGATCCATACAGCAGCAACAAAACAAACTAGAATATACATGAGTACTAGTTCTGGACATGACAGGAGCAGAAATACAGAGAAAAGTAAACGCATGAAACAGACGGGTCAATAAGGGCATTGCACATATTCTAGTATAGGAGATGTTCACAACTCTCAGCTATTATATCATATTATTATACTTTTGGTGGATTACATTAATGCCGAATTCACAACTAAGAGCAAACAAATCCATAAGACAGATTTCCATTGTGTTCCGGAAGGTGTCCGCACAAACAATCATAAAACTGCCTTTTTGTGAATGGAGTTCGGCCTCCAGCCAGTTACAGAAGCGGCACCGGGCGGATGGACTGAGGTGACCTCGGAGACCCTAACCCTAACGACCTGGGTGGTGCCCAGAAGCCCGATCAGACCGCCAGACTTCATTCTGACAAATAAGAAAAGCAGGTGATACTAAAGATGCCAACAGCGGGCACAATGCTAAATCTAGTTTTAAAGGCATTTGGATGAACTTCCAGACATCTGTTGAAGGAACAGAGAATATTAAGTGTTGAGTAGTTTTTAATTAAGGCCGAATTCACAAACGGAACCTGAGAATTCATATAAAAGGCCGAGGTTCCGTTTGTTCGGCTGTCATTCCCTCACAGTACTAAAACACGGCATTTTTTACTGGAGTCTGGCGAATCGCTCTGACTACCAGGCGGACCACCGAGGACTCTGTCCGCCCGGTCCGGCCCGACAGGAGAAGCTGTCACCGGCTGAGGTGAGCCGAGCTCCGGTTCCTCACCTGACATAGCTCCGCTTCTCTCAGCTCATTCTGGAAATCAGCTCCTGTCGAGATTCACCGTGAAGCAAACCTCCGACAGGGAGCCGCCATGACAGTCCGCTGAAGGCCGGAAGAGTGGC